ATACATGTAGCACATATCCATCAAAACTCTTTTGCTACAATTATCTATTTTATTATGAATAGCAATATAGAGATATAACATGCTCATCAGTTTTACTAGAGCTATTACTAGTATCCCTGCCAGGCCACCTGTGAAGGAAATGTCACTCAGAATTGCAGAGGAAAAGAAGGGAGGGGGGGGGGGTACCAAACATGCTCAAGGAAGTGCTGCGCTTTTATTTCCGTTAAATGACTCATGACTTAGATGACTTCCATTGCTCAATTTCTATCGTCTAAGAGAGCAGTTCTTCTACATTAAAAAATAACATTAAAAATATTTTGAAGTTTAAATCTTTGTTAGGTGGTGATACCAATATTAATGATTACTACTGAAATGTGATGTATCAAAAATAAATTATCGTGGTGTAACAACAAATTTTACTACATATTTTCTCTATTATTTTTTTGGGATCGGTTCGCTAGCAACTACGTTACTCTTTTTTTTTTCTGGAATACGCATGCTCGACCTCACGGTAGGGCATCCTGGGAATACAACAGTAGATAAACTGTACCATGACAATTTCGTTTCATTATCGGTAAAAGATTCGTGCTTTGTTGTTTAACTTGTACATACATGTAAATGTACGAAATGTAACAGTTACTTAGGTCTTATAATGCAAAGACTGAAGATATCAGTGAATTCTAAAATTATGATAAATATACTACTTTACGACACGCTCGAATAACAACCTCGGATATGCATGCTTGCCGGAAAGACCAGAGAAGATGCGATAGCTACAAAATAGTACCACACTGCATGGAATATTTTAAACTAGGTGCTCATTGGTTCTACTGATCTCTTATTTTTCACCTTAAAATTTAAAATACAGTAAACTATAGAATGCTTATAAAATGACTAATGAGTAATGCTATTGCCGATGTGAAGCCCACCCTAGATTCACCTTTCTGAATTGACACCCCCCCCCCCCCCCCCCCCGTTCATCACTATGCCTCTTTTATTTACAATTAATGGATTCAGCAACTTAAACCAATGGTTCAGATATCTACTTGTGTGTTTTATGATGGCCACAGCGCTAGGTCAACTTTCTTTTTAAAGGATTTGCTTGTAGCTGATTCTATGTTACGGCAAATATAAACAATAACGCTTACATTATACGACGAACTACTTTATTTGATATTATGCACTGACAGCTTAATTATAAATCTATCATTAGCATTTACTGAGATTTTTTTGGCAATTACTTTGAGATGCAATATTTATCATGTCTATGCAGTAAAAAAAGCTAAAGTCTCCAAACTCAAAACACCTATTTCGAAGGGGGAGGGGGGGTTGTACATTAGTATATTTCTTTTTCAACTGCAGGAGTTTGCGAGTGATCGATCTTAATGCTGCAACAAAACGGGGAAGACTACAGGAAGCATTTAAATAAAGATTTACAACAGTGAAAAACTATACTTACAACCCCCCCCCCCCCCCAGGTATTCTACGGGGCTGTATTGTCAATAAAAAGAAATATCTCTTTTTATGCATCAGCTGAAACGAGACATTTAAAAATAGCATATAAAGACAAAAGGTTTACATTATCGATAATATTTAATCTACATTAGTATCAACAAAATTAAGGAATTGTAAACCTCCATGTAAAGTGTTAACTGTTGTTCGAAGAAGAAATAATACTGTGCATATTATAAAAGCATCACTCCAGTCTAACAATTTTCCCAGCAAAAAAAAGAACAATTATATGATTTTGCTTACATATGTTACCTTCACTATCATTATTTATTTTATTTTTTCCAAAATATTTTATCAAAATGTGACGTGATCTGTTTCCTATACAATATTGCCACACGATTGCAAGTTCGAAAATCCAGCACTGCATTACTAGTACTACAAGTCGAGCCTGTGAACATCGACCAGGAAAATCATCATCAATGCAGGGACGCTATATGGAGAGACAGGATTTACATTTAGAAGGATTAATTTATGGGAAATATAAACAAATTAATATTTCTTACATGATGGTGTGCTTTGAAACGTGTGATTATTTTCTGAGGTTAGGAGAATGAGGGGGCAACTCCAACAGAAAAAAAAAATCTCAAATTTTTTGGAGTGGCCAAGAATCAGCGAACAATCTATTTGGGAGCGGGTGTTAGGACATGTAAATGACTCATTCGATCACATTTTACCAAGTGTCCTAAGTGTCTGATTTTTTTTTTTAAACGGAGGGGGGGGGGGTCATTTTGGTTTACTTTGCTATTTTATTTTATATCTCAGAAAATATCCGAGGGTGGAGTTGGACACTCCAGATATCCCTCTAAATCTGCGCAATAATAGTTTGTCCGAAAAGAGTCCTTGTATGGACAATTTCATTCAAAGGCTTACAGCCCCTTTCCATTCCCATGTTGTTGAAATATGATATATAATAGTATGTTTATTCACCAATCAAGGGCCCTCAGAGGGCAAATACAATTATTACAATAAGATCACATTTAATTAAATAATATTAAAATATCGTAATATGGTAGAATATTAACCATGTTATATTTAACATGTAGGTATAAATGGAAGATTACAATACCACAAATAAGATACTCGTGAAAATGCAAGATTTGTAACATATCCACAATTGTCTGAAACGGGGACAAAAATATTGAGAAGGTAGAAAACCACATGAGGCTAAAGAAAATGACAATAATAATAGATTAGCAGCATACTATTATATAGTGATCGAGCTGCGCAATTTATTATCCATAAGCTAAGGCAGCATCCGACATCGATTCCAATGCAAATTACGTCACTTCCGTTTCGCACAGAATTATCTCACTCACCCACAAACAAACACGCAACTCCGTTGCGAGGGGATAAAACACACACAGAAAAGTCGAACAGTGTAAAAGTCTATCATAAAGATGCACTTTTCTACATGGGAAGAAATTCTGTGGATTTTCTCTGGTGTAGCTGCATGTAGACTGAATTCAATCAAAGCGCAATTAACGCTGGCTTACGCTTATCTTTATGTTATCCGAGACAAATGATGTCAACAGTGTTGAGGGAAGGATCCAAAACTTTTACAGATATAAGATTAAAGCTTTAAATTTTGTTTTTAAAGAATAATATGATGCCTTTAATTTTTTTTTCGGGAGTGGCATAATTTCAATATTTTATGTGCTCAATAATAATAATAATACATTTAAAATGAAACATAATTATAGAAAATAAAAGAGTAAACAATAAACAAAGTTAAATAAAAAGGAAATTAAAATAAATGTTGGAATTTGTATGTAACCCTTAATTTGATTTTAGAAAGTATAAGTATGCCACAGGTTACTAATTTACCCCATTTCATTGACCACGCAAAGCGCAGGGTTTTTTCCCGTAAATGTGTCTTAGGATTCGCACGGAGTGGGATGGACAGATTTTAGGGCATAGATAGGAAGGAGAGTGTCTGGGGAAAAGAATTAAAATTTCAAATATTAAGAAATGTTGCCTTTGAACGTATGAAGGGTGTAAATAGGCCATGTTTACCTTCTTCTCAATGGGTAAGTGAAATATGCAGGGTATTGGGGTAACTCACAGTGTCTTAGAAAGACTTGCACACTGTGGATTCTCCCTAGATTCAGAAATATTTTAAGGCTATAATAAAAAATAAAAAAAAACACTAAATTCCAAGGTGCATCAGACATGCCACTGAAGAAAATATTTTTTTTTTCTTAGATCCACCTCTCCTAGATTCTGCCATAAATGCATTTTTTTGGAAGGGGGGGGGGTGCTCTTTCTTTTGGAAATACTTCAGATTTTTGCTTTATATATTTTTGAGGTCTATTTGATGCTTTGCATCAATTTAACTTGTTCAATTCTTTTTTTGAGCCAATACAAATATATATATATTTTGATGATGAAAATAATAAAAATTAAAATATTTGAACAGAGTACTCGATCCGTTTTTCTCCAAAGGGGGGGGGGGGTATTCTGTCTTAAAAAAAAATACGTTTGTAAAGTACAAGAAAAGAGGACACGGGGTGGTTTAATCTGACTGGTGTATTCAAATACTATTATTATTATATTTATGACGCAGTATTTTTCTCTGTTCCCCGTCATTGCAAGTTTAGGAGTAATGTCACAAAGGCTTGGGAATTTGTTTATGGTACACAAGAATTCAAACTAACGTTTTCTACAGTTTAACTATATTATTATTATTTTTTTTTATTGATTCATGTGTAAGATTTCACTGATCTGTTACAAATTATTGAGGGTGACGTCACAATGGCTTTAAAACTCTCGATTTGCACACTAAATATGCACCTCTTAGCTGGAGGTGAAACAAGTGGGCGGATCATGGATCTTCAAATTTCAAAGACCGATTTCTGTACTGAAGACATTCCAGTTTCCTTTCCTCTTGTGATATTCAATTACCTGGTAAAAGGAGAACTTTTTACAAACAATTAAAAGTACGTGTGCTGAACAACAAAGACAGTATACCTTATATTACGTACAATGCTTAATCGCCATTTTGCATTAGAAAAGTTCGGGAAAAGAGTGTACCTGTGACGTCGTATTTTACGACTGTGACGTCGAGGAGTGGTTGTCTGCATAAGGAAGCTGCTGTAAATTTGGTAGTGTTTACATCGCTGCGTTTTTCTGACCATTTCGTTGGATTTAAAAGTTGTTACGGTTGTGAAAACATATGTAAGTGTTTGCAGTTGTCGTGCGGAATACGCATCGGTATGTATTTTCGTTTGCTGCGAGTCATTTCTTCAGCCGGGTCTTCATTCATGGGGACTATGAAGCCGTGCGTTGTTGGCAATGTTTAACGGATATCTACAACTCGGAAGGAACGTTTTGCGATAACAGTGGAGTCGTAGCATAATTTAATGACGGAAATTCGATGGATTATTTTAATCTCGCCGTTTGATTGCAGAAAACTGCAGAATTTAGCGAGAAAATAATGACGCATGCGCAAATGGGGGTTAGTCGTTTTTTGATGCCAGGCATCGACTAACCCCCATCTGCGCATGCGTCATTATTTTCTACAGCTACAACAGTAGAACACCAGATACACTGCATAAAAGACATTTACCCTAGAAATATTAATTATGACTGAAAATAAACAATAAAAATATGAAATTGGAACACAATAAAAACATGAATGAATAAAAATAAACAATAATTCAATTATATTAGCTTCTTATATACACACTTACCCATTTAGACAGTAATTACTACAGTGAAAACTGATAATTTCAAGCAAAACTAAGTTGGTTTTCGGGCACTACACCTGATTTCAGAATTTTCTGAAAATCCAGGATTTATAATTAGTCTAAGATTAAATAATTCCCTGTTGTAAATGAAACCGTTACATGTACTTAACCGAATGCAAGAGATCCTTGGAATCGATGATGACTTATTGGCTTGTCTAAAGATGTTCATCCAAGACATCAATGACGCCAACACAGATGAGTAAAAGTAGTGCATAGGCCGTCTAGTGAGTGAAAAGATAGATTGCGATATTGGGAGAAAGGGCTCAATAAATGAAGTTTTGTTCTGAGAGAAACAATCAGACTAAATAAAATAATGTGTAAAATGAAGAAATTCAGATTATTAGGGGAAACACTCAAAAGAAAAGACACATGCTTCATGACCGACTGCAGTAGACAAAGAAGAAAAAAAATAAAAATTAAAACTATGTTTTCCCAAAATACGTTAAAAGTTATGACATTTTTTCCCTGAGAAGTTGTGATGTCAATTGTGATGCCAATGTTGAATAAAAATAATATGTGTCGTACTGTAGAAGTACCTCAAATCAGAATGGACTTTGAGTTTGATGCCACCACGAAAAGGTAAGACTCTCATATCTCTTATAACTTGCGCAATGGTAGGTAAACGTTAGTAACTATGACACAAAGAAAGTAATAAAGTCAATAAAATACAATGTATGTGAAAAGGGAGCATATATATCCATAAGAAACTTTTAAAGAATTTTACAATCGTGCAGTAATTCGTATTTTGAACTGCTCTTTATTAGCCAAGGGGTCATAGTTTGAACAAATTTGAATGTAGGCTAATCATCAATTCTTTTAATTTTAGCTTAGTGACTCTAAATTTTTTTAAAAGTCCCATATTTTGGGGTTTTTTTTTGGATTCCGTAATTATTTTTTGTTGGAAGAAATATGGCCACCACTTAAACAAACACCAATTATCAATGCCCGGAGATGTTATGTGATTGATGATAAGGCCAACGAAATGGAAAAAAAAAAACAAAAAAAACAACAAAAAAAAACAGTGGTCAGCATCACTGTTTTTAGTCATTATTAAGTGAGCCAGAAACATTGAATTTATAACTTTTATTTTTGTAGGTTATGCAGTAATTTGTTACAGTACAAATGAATGCATTTTGATTTTTTTTTTCAAGGACTTCAAACTCATCAACAACAAAAATGTATTTGAAAAAATAATCAAAAAAGCACTATCTATGACAAAAAAAAAAATGCTTTTCGATTAACACATTTTGGTGATTATGAATAATAAACTAAAAAGAATATCAGCAATGTTAATAACACATACATCAATTGTTCTTATATATAAAAATTATTACAAGTCTGCACAATATAGTAGAAATATTGTACTGGAAGTTACAGGACTTGTTTGTGTTGAAAACTGAAAAGGAAGACGTATTGGATCTTCATGGTCGTTAAAATGGATTTTAATTTCGTGATGAAACAGTCATCGATTAGTATGTCGGAATCAGAGATCATATTCCCAAGCATAAAGTACATACTAACATACCTCAAAACGAAGTTATTAAATATATATATATATATAAATAATTTTAAAAATGAGAAGAAGAAAAATAATATTTTTACACTCTTTGGCATTATATTTCTTTCTTTCAGTTGTTCAAGAAAGCGAACATCACGAATAGAACAGAAATGGTCTTTAAATATAAGCATTCCAATGTTAATTTATTCCATGAATCCGATTTTCATTAACAAGCTGTTTTTTTTCGATGACAAATATATCACTGCATCAATTCTTTATATCCTGCTGACGAATTACTCCTTCACTGATTAGAGTATATGTTTTCAGCGCTTCTTTCTATGTGATCATTCACTGCTTTGTTGACAAGTCCATACTCATCCTGAAAACAGACTTGTATGCACTTTTTTCATGCATTATCAAACAATTCTATCAATGAAATAGGCTATATTTAAAATTATGTTTCTTTTTGTATCTGTTAAAGTCTTTCAATCCAAAAGAGACTCTTCATTTACATTACTTATCCCTCCTTTTTCACCAAAATCGGATTAGTAATAACTGCATGTGCAATAATAGTATATGGATGATTTTCTTTTAAGGGTATTTTTGATTATTATTTTTTTTTGATGGATTTGTAAAGAATTTATGAATGCATGGATCAAGGAAATAATATTTGTTCCTGTCTACAAGACTTTTGTATTTTTAAATCACAAGTTTTATTGCTGTTGAATTTCTATTTTTTCCATGGTATGAAGAAACCTACAGGTTCATATTCCTAAAGAAATGTTACAATTCTATATTGAAGCATTTTTTTTTCCATTTCTTTTCTCATTTACTGATTGATTGATTGTATTTTGTTTTACGTCCCATTCGGGATTTTTTCACTCATAAAGAGACGTCACCATACACCGGCGAAGGGCTTCAAATTTTGACTTTGACTCGGCAATCTGGGCCATTGAGCAGTGAGGGATCTTCATCGTGCCAACGGCTGCCGTGACATGGGATCTCGGTTTTTAAGGTATCATCCGAAGGTCCCTCAACTTTCACTTCAAAGTGCCAAGCTCTTGGCGTAGGAACAGTTGCTACTCATTTTTTATCGACTTAGGCCAGTCGCGGCCGAGATTCGAACTCACGACCACCCGTTCACGGAGGGAGCGCTCTACCGACTGAGATACCGTGAACGGTATTTTTTTTCTCATTGAAAATAAAGCGATTTTACCGTACGTAATTCAGTCTGATTATTTGGAATTAAGGTACTTGTAACAATAAAATAGTTACAATCTTATTAAGGACAAAATTTTCACGCAAAACATGAATATCAAACTCTATGTATTCGTATATTACGGTTAAAAAAAATCTATATATCTGTAGAACCAGAACAGCACTCGCGATTTGAAAACTCTCTGTAAATGAGACATCTCTTATACCTCTAACATTTTATGACAATTTTTAATGCTCACTGCTTACCTACGATAATGATCTATACTGATATAATTAAATTATGACTTACAAGACTGAAGCAAAACTCTGGCCTTCGAACTTGCAGTTTTCTGACGGAAGTAAAGACATCTACATTGTCATCCATGTTGATTTGTTGTATCACATTATGAACTGCACAAAAGGCGCCGCAAAGGGAAGCTCCATCGCTACATGGCAAAGTATCAGAGGGAATTTAAAATAATCGTTTTAAATATGTGTTGAATTCCAAATGATATTAAATTCCTGAATTGATACAAAACTAATGTCCTATTGAGAATACTGTTCAAAGATATACATGTGAATACCATGAATTTTTATTGAAAACCACGCACTGAATTTAATCAAAATCCTTTAATATGGATGGTTCTGAAATGTTTGTTATTTTACGATAAGGAGAAGGGGAAATAAGTGTAATACCTGCTGACAACAATGATAGGATTTTCCGTCTCTACTCCTAATGCAACGGAGACGACGCTTCGAAGTTGAGAAGTATCAGGAGAAGTTCCGGTTGCAATGATCCTGGATTTTGGCTCTACAATTGTCACAGTATGGGCGTCCTTCTTGCTCTAATGGAACCAAAACATTAAACATTGATCACTTTTTAGAATTTATATCTTGCTTGAATTACTCATCAGATATGTAATGGAGAGAGAGAGAGAGAGAGAGAGAGAGAGAGAGAGAGAGAGAGAGATCATGTGTAACCGACAATACAATTGCATTTATTGTAATTACATTATTCTGTCGGATCTGAAATATGCTGCTCTTTACGTCAGTTTCAGTTTTAGATTGCAAATGAACAGTAAAAGGAGGAACTGTTTTTGAGAAAGATGTGGTTGGAAACAACGTCATCATCTAGACAAAAAAGAAGAATGAAAACATTTTCAAAGGGAAAGCAAGATCATGTTTTACAGGTATGTGATGATCAAAAAGTCAAAAGATGAACACACTTTGAAATTTCTTTATTTTTGAAACTTGGACTGAGACTTCAGAAGAAAAAAAACTTTTAAACTGGGCGTTATTCATTTAAATATTAGTTTAATATAAGTTACAAAATCAGGTCAATTAGAAAAGAACTAGAATGATATACTGCTTAAAATTTACATTTTATATCAATATAAATGTTATGTTAGATAGAGACACTAATGAAGGCCTTGTGCATTATCTAGCATGCAATAAACAAACTAGAGTTATTCCTCATTCCATGAAACAGTGTTGCCGATTGGGATTTCTATAAGTGAAGCGCAGAAAAAGCTGCCAAAATATGCATTTTTTGCAGAATTTTTGGAGAAGGAAACGTTTTAATTCAAATTTCCATGCTTTCAGACATTGATGCCTAGAATTTTGCTTACCGGTTCAGTTGTTCTCTGTGGATCCATAAATATAACAATGTCAGATTCCTGATCATATAGCAGGCACAGGAAGTCTACAAAATCCTCAACTGTCGGATACTGCGTGACAATAAACGCTTTGCTCTTGGTAAACGACTATAAAAATTACAAGAACAAAAATAATTTTCTTACAAAGGAATGTAAATTTCATATGAGCTGGAAACACGAATTTCTACATCAAAAAGTTTCATCATTTATAACACGATATTTTTTTCTTTGACGAAAGAAAAAAAAAATATATACAAATTTGCTATACCAAAGGTATTTGTCATTTTAGACTTGTAAGGAAATGAAGGAAATAGTATATAAGTGTATCTTAATTGTATTCTTGTTTCTTACCGGGACATATATAGCATTAATGAAGCTATCTCTGTTCGGAACTATAGCTGAAAGGTGGACACTGTATTTATCCACTATTTAAAAGAAGAAGAAAGAGGGGGTTCTATTTTGCATTTAAACGTCTTGAGTCTTATGTTAAATTTGAACTTAGTTTCACATATAATATCTACAAAGAGAATGAAAAAAAAATATTTTTTTCTTAATTTGAAATGGTAATATTCATAATAGATATAGAAAACTTAATACTAACGAGGAAATAAGCCTGTAACACTTCCATTCCTACAAATTCCCTTGGCTATCTTAAAATCAGCATCATTGTATACGGGTCGTATCTTCATCAAAATCTACAAATTTAAACAAATGAAGGGTTTATGAATAACAAGAGACAAGGAAACCCTTCAAAAATACGTATATCAATCTTTTTATCAAACCTTTATTGTTTATTTTGATTACAGTAACGGGGTATAACACTTTAAATTTTACTTTTTTTTTCTCAATCAAATACGCACTTAATCAATTATATTACTATATGTTATGAATGTTCTAATGCTGTTACAACATACATGTAACTGACACCATGTCGTTTTCTAATATCACTAATAATTTCTTGCTTGTCAGATCTATTCAATAATCACTTTACAACATTCTTTTTCTCTATTTATATATATACCTGAAATTCTTTTCGTAATATATTCTGATTGGCTGGTATGTCAGTTGTAATGGCAGCCATCTTTTTAGTAAAGTCTTCAAGCGTAATTGTGTCAACCCGTGATTTGAATATTTCATTCAAAGCAAGATATATCGTCATGTACTGTTCCTGAATAAAAAAAAAATACATCGGGTAACTATAAAATGAACATTTTTTTGCGTTGTTAATAACACTATTGAAAGAAAATAATAAATAATTGACCTCTCCATTTTTTCATTATCATTATTAATTTTTTTTTTTTTTTTTTTTTTTTTTTTTTTTTTTTGGAAATAAAAGTGTACTACTTGGCAAGTCCTTCTAGAATCACTTTTAATCAAAAGAGCATAAAACCATTCATTTCATTAATATCAAAAGATTTTTTTTATATAAAAATCAAATGTTTTGTATTTCTTCTTAAATGTGTAAAATCAGAGATCAGAAATCAATTAATTAATAAATAAACACATCCAAAAATCAATAATTTGTTATTGAATGAATGAATGAATGAATTTACATAAAGGTAATACTCTTTTAGCATCTAAGTAAAGAACAAGAACTTACATAAGTTTGGACCATATTCATTCTGCTTTCCCTCATCTTCTTGACATACTCTGCTACGTTTACTTTCCCTGTCTTTTTTCCTATCTGGTTTAGGACGTCTAGTGCGATGTACGTCCCCGTTCTTCCTATTCCCGCACTAATGTGATTATGATAAATAAATAAATAAATATATCGGCATCAAGACTACTATCAAACATAAGTTTTGCAAAGATTGAGACAATTTATATAAACATTATACATGTACAAAGAAATGCATGGTATATATTATTTTTTAGCAATATAAAAACATCTCTCTTTTTTGTGATGGTGGTGGTGGTGGGGGGGGGGGTTGATGCATTTTCATTTCATTTTTTCCTGCTTTTATTGCATTTATTAGCATTTGTATATTTGATTTTTATTTTTCAAATTTACCTGCAGTGCACAACTGTTGGGGAGCTATTCTGATTGGTTCCTGTACGGGTCACGTGATCAAGGAAAACAACAAGACAGAGGGGATCCGGGATTCCATAGTCGGGCCATGCAGTATAATGATATTGGTTCACAGATCGTGATTTCTTGGTCTACAATTAAAATGAGTTGATTTTGCTTTACACATTGGAATGCCAATTGATAGGGTTGAAAACAATTTGAGTAACTCTCTGATTGTTGTTATAAATGTCAATTTTTTTCTAAAGAGACATTAATACCATAAACTTTTTGTTTGAGATTCTTTGATACCTTAAATGCTGTATAATAAGAAAAGTAGAGGAATGAATGAAAAGAAATGGGGGATCTAAGCATGCATATGAATTCCTTGAGGATTACTTTGAGCGTTTCGTATTCTAAAAGGCATTCATTATTTGTAAATGACGATAATAATGATTAAAATGTGTTCTTAATATTTACCAAAAGACGGAAAATATCTTGCTTAATTAAAGTAATCCAAACAAAGGCCGGATTAAAGAAGAAAAATCCCTCGATTGTTTTTGGGCAAAAGAAGTTTCTGAAAAAAGGCCTTTTTGGTCATTTCTCAAACATATACCGTGTATGGTAAAACGGAATAATAACCTCTGCTTCAATTACACAGGACAGCTGAGTTACAGACAAAATACTCAAGAACAGTATTTACATTTAGATAAAAAATATTAATAATGCTAAGTAAGAGGGTTATATGTACCAAGAATGTTGAAATTCCAAACAATTCATTTTACCACATTTTGTTTTATGACATCAATGTTTTGCTTTAGAATCTATCATTGTGTGAAAAATAATTTGTGCAAAATATCTGTTGCATTAGTTCTTATTCAAAACTTACCTCATTGTGGCTAACTATCATTCTTCGAGAAATGTGAAATGCATACTTTTTTTCCTCCGTCATTTTCACAGACAAAGCTCCGTAGTTATTCTTGTTTCTTACGTCCGGCCAATATTGACAGCATTTTATCTTTAAATAAATGCAAACACTGGGGAACACTTGAGAATAAGCATGCACAAACACTATGGTAGCGTTAAAATGTTAATCGTCAAAGACCACTAAATTTAAGCATACTTAGAGATAAAAGTTAGAACGCTGAAAAAAATGTTGCTCATAATTTAATCACGACAAGGTTTCTCCGTGAATTCATTAAATTTAATAAAAATGTACTTTTGTTCCCTCTTGCAGATTTGTAAGCATCACGATGGAAGACACATTTCCTTGCCAAATCATTGTCCAAAAATCAGCAAGTGTATTCTTCGTCGGTCCTACATTAGGAATGAAACAATGATAGCTATAGTATGAGAAAGTCATGAACATTGGAGCATTGATTGCAGTTTGAGTAAAGGAGAATCCAATATACAAGGCCAGTGAACAAAAGAATCATATAATTAATTTAGTTAATAATAATGACAATGTCAGGAGTGTTTGATACTTTTCTTATTCATTACGTCATACAATCAGAGTAATTAACCTTTCGTATGAACAATGTCAGCTAAGGAACAGGGTTCAATTCTCAGTCCGACGTTAAACTTCAAGCAAAAATAAGAATTACGTACATGTAATGAACATATCTTCCCAGAATGATTTTCTACTAATTGTTGCGTCTCCATGATTATGCACATCATCTGTAACCCCCCCCCCCCCATGAAATTTTAAATTCAATGAACTGGATACATTATTTTATCTTTATCTGTTTTCGTCTTTCTCTGTCTCTGACGGTGTTTACAACAAGCACATTCTAAACAATTTAAAACAACTACACTTCTTCGACATCCCTATACCAAGCCCCTATTTTTCCTCCTTACAAAAATATAAAACTTCTGTAAAGGAGATTGATTGATTGATTGATTGTATGTTGTTTAATGTCCCATTCGAGAATTTTTCACTCATATAGAGACGTCACCATATACCGGTGAAGGGCTTCAAATTTCGACCTTTACTCGGCACTCAAGGCCATTGAACAGTGAGGGATCTTTATCGTGCCAACGCCTGCCGTGACACGGGGCCTCGGTTTTTAAGGTCTTATCCGAAGAACCCGCAACTATCACTTCAAAGTGCCGAGCGCATGGCGAAGGAACAGTTGCTACCCATTTTTTTTTTATCGACTTAGGTCAGTCGTGGCCAAGATTCGAACTCACGACCTCCCGATCACGAAGCGAGCGCTCTACCGACTGAGCTACCGTGAACGGTTCTGTAAAGGAGAAAAGTCTGATCTACCGTGATACAGCATAATCTTGAAGCGGTGTAAATCAAATGTGGATTCTCAAAAACTCCAAAGAACTTTTAGAGAATTTTAATCGCCAAATCTTTTCAAAGTCAGTAACATCAAAATGTATAACTTTTCTACACTTTATACTACCATCCCTCACAATGAATTAAAAAAAAAAGGCTGTTTGATATCATAGACAATAGCGTCTTCAAAAAAAAAAAAATCGTATTTTGTGAAAGTCACTCGTAGAATTATTTTATCAAAAAATTACTCTGATTCTTAACAAAATGTACTCTGAACTTGATTTTAAAGAGATGCGAGACTTCCTCATAGCCATTTATGTAGTCTTTGGGACAAAGTATTCCAACAAATTGTTGGAATACCAATGGACACTATTTGTGCTCATTAATCAGCTGACCTGTTTCTATATTCATATGGAGCAGAATTTGTTAAAAGAATTTCTAAATGTGAAAAAGAAAACACTTCCTGTGGTTTTCAACTCGAAATTTAGATACCCCGACGACGTGTTATCTATAAAAACAGGTACCAGTGAATTTCAAATTAAATGACAAAAAAAGTATGCCAAAACTGTTCCACATTTGGAAGTTTTATTAACAATTAACGACAAAGGCCAACTAACAACTAAATTGTATAAATATTACAAACAAGACTTCAGCTTTTCCATCGTCAATTTTCCCACTTTATGTAATAATATCCCGTTATCGCCTGCATATGATGTTTGCATCTCCAAACTTACTCGATGTTCCGAGGACGGTCTTTTTTTTAAAGAGGTAGGCTACTGACATATAAGTTAATGTATCAAGGTTCTCAACAATCTCTCTCAGAGTCAGCATTTCGTAAATTCCATGGTCGTAATAATGTCATTTTTAGGAAATATCGCCTATCAATTGGTCGTATAATGGCTGATGAGTTTCATACCAACAGTTAGATTTTTGTTTTTATACTGAATCTGCCTACTGAATGTTCTGTTAACCTGAACTATAAATAGGGCTCACGGCGAATGTGACTGGTCAACAGGGATGCTTACTCCTCCTAGCTAGACAAAGGATCCCGAGTCTTGAATTTTTGGGTTTCCGTGTGTTATGCCCTCCTCACATCTTTATATTGTCCATGGATTTTTAAGATCAATTACTGATCATTATCCTCACTTTTTTCATTATCTTTTGGTTATTTTATTATTGCCTTAAACTGATTTGAAAACAAACAAATCATAGTCATAAATAAGTTATGCACAGAAGTTTGAAGTATATAGATATATATAGTACCTTGTGCTGCAACATACTCGTTTTGTCTGTGTGCTCCCTGTAAAGAGAGAATGCATGTTTCACTTCCCCATTCCGTAACACATAGATAAGATGGAGACGAAGGGAAAATGTGAGGGTGAAAACTACAATTTTGTTTGCTACAAGCAAATCAAAATGTATGGCACAATTCACTTTTTGAAACCATATCACTATAAACAAAATAATCTTATTTTTTTACATGATAGTTTTTTTTTTTCTTTTTTACCTCGATGTAGTTAGCATTAATGTAGCCAGATGTTTGCTCAGTCCTAAGTATTACTCTTGAATGGTCATCTAAATTGAAGGAGAGTGTTATAAAGTCATAATCGTTTCATGATTTAAAAAGTAAGAACAATTGTATGACGAAAAAAAAAAAGTAATAGAGACAATCCTAGTATCTCGAACTAAAAGGAATCTATAAAAATTCCTTGATGTCACAAGTTCGAGATTTTTACGTACACGGAAAGATGGTCTTATATCTATTTTTAACAACATTTTCTTCTCTTCTTCCTTCGTCACATTTGTATTGTTCACCGTATGGCAATGACTGCAACGAACAAAAACGGAATTTTTCATACACTTAATGCTTACGTGTATACAAATATAAAAAATGCAATTTCATTGCGTTTTGTTAAGACTGGATTTCAAGGATTGGAATATTTAGAAGAATAAAACGTCTAAAATATTTTTTTAAAGAGGGTAGTATGCTAATTTAGTATTATTTTTTTTTTCTGTTCATCATATGATTAAAAATCCTCCTGTTATTTATTTATTTATTTATTTATTTATTAACTTATTCATTTATTATTTCTTGATTTGATGTTTCTTGCATTATTACTTATACATTTTTTATCATATAAAAACATGTTTATCACTAACCGCATATTCTCTCTGAAATCCATCGTCTTTATTCATTCTTTTCTCAGCTATAACCGACTCTAGTTGATTTAGAGGTATGTCTCGTATTGTCGTTTCATTAGCATAAAAATCTCCGTAAGGATTCTCCGAGTGTATTTTCTCATCGTCATCTACATCAGCCTCATCATTCTTCTTCTGACATTTCTTAGATTTTTTATTTTCTGTTTTTATGATTTTATTACCATGGCCAGATGATGATGGTTTGGAATCAGTGCCAATAAAATCTGTTTGAGTCACACCCTTGTTTGCTGAAAAAAGGAAGTAGACACATAAGCATATCCTTATACTATCAATGCATTGTATTAGAACAGTTAAATGACTGCAATTAAAATAATGTCACTCACAGTTTCTCCTTCTTTCCGTTTCTTCCTTTTCTGTAGTTTTCTTTTGCAAACAGTGCCTTGTGTGTAAGAAGAAATACCAAAACAGAAAGAACAATACCAACCACCCCCCTTTAGGAAAAAAAGAACAAAAATGAACAAAATAAACAATGAAAGGCAAGGTGTGAGATCACTTATATTTTAATTGGAACCAAGGACTATATCAAAAGCGAACTGACCTTCTGGAAGCCAAAACCACAGTAACAACCACAAGACAACCAACTACTAATCCCGAAATCCCACCAATGATTACACTTTTACTTATCAGGGGTAAAGTTTCCTGTAAAAAATATACTTTTGACATGAAGGAGTCTTTGTTCACAATATATATATATTACGAGTATGTCCATATGTTTCACCTCGTTTATCTTGGAGAATATTTAAATTTTATAAGTCAATTTTACAGAATTTAGCAGTCAATGAAAAATGGTTATTATAGGTATAGTTTTCAATAGGATCAAATTCTATAGTGTTTAAGGCCTCAGATTCTATCTGAGGAAATTCAGTATAATCAAAACAGATTCGGATGGATTACTTTGATCCTAGAGCTATAGCCATTAACAGGGTTACAGGTATTATTAAAACATCTTGTGCTGCAGTTTTCCATACAGTCATAGCCAAAAGTTCCTGGGGTACATTCTAGAAGAAAAATTATTCACATATAATCTAAAATAGATATTTGAAAAAAGAAAATCGATCATATGTAACTGGAATACGATATGTATATAAAAAAACGAAAAAAAAAAAAAATGAAATTCTTGTGATTAGCAATGTGATTAACAATAATTATTTTACATTTGCATTTATTATGAAATAGTATGCACCAGCAGTACAGTGATCACCGAAGTATCCCTCTTGGCAGCCACTCTGGCATGTTCCATTAGTGTGATGACATTTTTCGGTATTTCGACAGAAACCACAGGTCTGATTGCAATTTACACCATACATATTGTTCCTACATTCTAAACAGAATTTAAGAAAGCATTCAAAGAGTGTATAAGGATAATCTATATTTCTGGTTATTAAAGCTGTATTCCTGAAATAGAATTACACTGCCTCAAGAATATGTCAAAATTCTTTAGATTATTTTAAAGTGCCCTGCTGTATGTGTAATGAATGCTAACTCTGGAGAAAATTACAAATACAGGATTACTTATATTGCACTGAAGTCCTTCCCAACCAGGCTGACATCCGCCCTTACATTCTCCAGTGGTCCCATTGCATTTATTTGGAATAGAGCATTTTGCATTGCAGTTCTCTTTACAATTCAAACCGAATTTTCCACTTGGACAAGCTGAATTAAAACAAAAAAAAATATATCGACATTTAACACGAACTTTAGTCATTCGGGACAAGATTTACATAAATATACACCTTTGTTTCTAAAGATATGTTTACGATTCATTATTTACCACATGGCCGTAGGAACGGGGGGTTGGACACGAGGAGGCCGTGGCCCCAATAATTTTGCCGATATATAGAATACTTTAGAAAAGGTAGCTACTATATGCTTGTGCCCCCTCAATAAAAACCTTTGATGACTTAATTTTTGCTTGTAAAGTAATTTTTTGGTAGTTGATAGAGTCCGTCCAACTGAAAATGTATGTGTGACTGAAAATAATCTCCCCCCCCCCTTCTCCATCTGAAATTGCTTCCTACTGGCCTGTAAAATTCAATAAAAAAAGGAAATACCAGTTTGACAAAGTTCTCCTCCATATCCAGTGTCACAACCTTTAAGACAAGACCCATTGATGTGATGACATTGTTTATATCCCAGACAAGCTCCACATCTCTGTCCACAATCTTGTCCATATCTGCCACCGTCACATGCTATTTAGGTAAGAATGATAAAAAAAAAATGTTGTGACCACCTCAACATTCTGATATATCAACGACATTTTATTAAATAACAAGAGTTACTTTCATTCATTTATCGACCCGATATGTGAAAGTGGATCTTTTGTTTTCAGATAGCGTACTATTTAAATCAATATCCTCCAGCTAAGGAAAGCGTGTGAGGATATTGTTTCGAATTTTATTCCTTTTTGCACTTACGTAATTCACACTGATGACCCTTGTACCCAGGTTTACACCCCTGACATGCTCCTGTCTCTATGTGACAATAACGACAGTTACTGTCTGGACAAGGTAAGGAACAGGTAGGTCCATAGTATCCTGTGTTGTTGCAACCTTACAAATGCAAGATATTATACAATGTGTCTAGCAAAAGTCTGTCTGACAAGATTATAAACAAATGATAAATAATATTTGTACGGATGTGCATATCTAAAATTTACCTATTGAGGTCATTGTTATTCTATTGCGATTTTTAAAGAGTTCCTAAAATTTTCCCATATCAAACATTGTCCATCTTCTTGGCAACCTCCTTAACTGGGTGTAATGATGTGAACAAGTAAAAAGAACCTGATGTATAGGAGAATGTTTTGTACATGAGATAATAACTATGAACCGTATATACATGAGGAAACGTTTTTCAAGATATCATATAATGAGAATTTACCCCCCCCCCCCACACACACACACACACATACTGGAGTCAGAGGTATTAACATATTTGGCGCGACGCTAACAAAAGAATCTGTCGCAAAAGCTTTTTTGTCTTTCCGGGCCTCATGTGTGTTGACCAGATAGTATTTTCGTTTGATGAACAATACGTATTTCTCAATTATATCCCTTTACAAAACAATTCAATTCCCGTAGACTGAATCACATGTAAATACTTTCCTTTCACACATAATGCTTAAAAAGAGAAAGAAACCATACCGTAAATCTCAACCTCACACAATTCAGTATGTGCGTATGGATAAAACTGGTCAGCATTTGGTGAATTCTGAGGTCTTTTGTTGAAATAAATAATATATTGACCGTGTACAAGACAAGTTATATTTGCCACCGCTGGTATCGTAGCTTTGGTGTACTTCGTGTCGTGGAAACATAGATGTCCGTCTCTAATGTTCGTTGTGTTAGATGCATAAACAAAGAATCCTAAGAATCTAGATGTATAGCTATTAGAAGCACCTACAGTATAATAAATTGAAAATTAAAAAAAATTAAAACGTTAGGGGAAAACAGCAATATGAATAATAATTTCGATATGTTTTACATGTATACTCTTCTGTATGATTCTCAAATGATTTTTATTTTCTGTTCCATTGGTGGGATATATTTAGATAAATTTATTTTATTTCTGTAATGGGAAAGGGGTCTCGGATTCATTGCTTTGAACATATGATAATGTGTCAACTACTTTAAACATTGAAGCATTTGGATTCTTATTTAAAGAACTGGAATAGGGAAAATTCCTTTAAGTACTGAAGAACGGTTTATTTTTGCCACACCTTATTTTGCGAGATAGTAATATGCTATTTATTAACGAGAAATAATTTCTTCGAGCTGTTGTTACTTTTGTAAATATTCCTTACTTAAACAAACATATACGAGGATATTTTTTGTTAGCAGACATACTCGCATTAATACGCGAAAATAAAGTCCTCGGTAAAAAGTGATAAACAGTATTCTCGTGACAGTTATCCTAATACACAAAGGAGCAGGCAAATGAGGACTTCAGCATACTGGCGTTTTATTTCATGTTCTATAGGGTAATCGGCCTGAAAAAAAAAAAAGATCAAGTGAAGAAGGGCGTATTCCAAAAACACTCTTACATAATATGTAATTTAAATTTGATGATGCAGTTTTGTTTTTTCAAAAGATATTCGCCCTCGGTACATGTTTCAATCGCGTCACTTATCAGAATTCATGAACTTACCTGTAAGATATTTTTATGTATAATTGTTATCTTGATTTTTCTTTTATGGCATTTCTTATGATCAAAATTTTATATATAATACACAAAGAAATCTTTCATCTGAATTCAATTTTTTAGAATTGTTCCTATCCTTAATACTTTAGCTACCTTTCAACAGCTCCAAAAAGCCCAATATGTCCCTGGAGTATCAGTTTTAAAACTTTGCATTCCGACATCCATTTTGGTGTCATGCTAAAATAATGCTCCTGAGTTTTATTTATTTAATTTCTTTTTAATATAGATATCGTCTTCTCTATAGAGAATATACATGATAATTGAATCTCCAAAATATTTTCTATGCATGTGTATCTTCTTTGGAAGATTATTTTTCTTTTATTAGTACACCCACGTAGACAACAGAATTAAAATGTTGTAAGTGACATACAAAGGCCATATATTGCTGTTCGGAACCGTTTAAAGGTGAACAAAGTATCAGGAATAGACGTAAAATATGAATACTGTAATTAAGGGTTGTCATTCTCAAAACGATTGAAGTACAAGAAATAAATCTAAACCGAGCAGCAAAATAAACGTCACACTGAATCGAATATTTTTACAATGATAAGATATATAACTCTTTGGTTGATCTGTCAGATTTTTTTCGAGAAGAGGGCTACATTTCTGCAGCGAAGGTTGAATAAGAAATAAATGTTCCGAGATAAAGTAAAAGTATAATTACCCCATTGAGCATTGTCTGTCCTGTAATATATCCTTATATCATGGATGCTGTGGATAGATGTCAAGTTCACCCACCAGGTGGCGGTATAGTGTCCATCAGCTGAAATAGCACATTGACCCCCAAATGCTGAGCGGTCATTCTTCAAACCATCAACAGCATTGCTGGAGGCAAATGTAGCACTTCCATGGTTTGGACTGAAATATGGCTGTGATTGATATGTGGGTTTCCGTAAAGCCAGATTTTCTGAAAATGATTTTATTTATTTATTCAAATATTGCACATTTTTAATACTTGGCTTGCCACATTTGTAAAAATATACATTTATTGACTGGGTTCGAGGGCATCATGCGTTTTGTCGTACCCAATAACCAAACTGTTTGCCTGAGGCCGAAGAACTGGGAGCTTCTGTGCGCATGTGAGTTAAGGCTAGGTATAGGCGTTTCTATGCAAACGAGCTAATAAAAACGTACAAGAGGTATATTTATTATTCAGAGAAAGTGTTAATTTATTTTCTTATGCATACTTAGTACCCATGATATGTATTGCCAGTACACATTATGACGTCATATTATGACGTCACTGATCATACCTACTGGATGTAATAGAACACATCAACAAAACAGCTTTGGCGCAAGGGATTATCCTATTTATTTTAACATAAAAATTGTATAATGCTTAGAAGAATATTTTATAGATCAATAAAACTGCTGCACAAATCCAAGGCATTTTCTCATTTGATCGGAATTTGACGAAACTTATACCCGACTGTACACTTTTACCCTTACTCAATTGAAAACTTTATAAATAGAAAGTATACAACCAAGCTGTTGGTATTTGTGCAGCAATACCGACAAACTATCTAAATATACCTTGTTTCAGTTAAATAAAATAGAGCATGCCCTTGCGCCGAAACAGTTTTGTTGATATCCATTATAATCTTTTGTAGTAAAGAACAATGACGTCATAATATGACGTCATAATGTGTACTGGCTGTCTTATGTCGTGGGTACCAAGTATGTATTAGACAATAAGTTTTAACTAACTTTCTCTGTATAAAAGATATAGTCCTTAGGCATTTTAATTAGATTATTTGCATAGAAATGTCTGTACCTAGCCTTAACACACCTGCGTGAATGATTTATGTACTCTATTTATAAAAAAAAAAAAAAAAATAATAATAATAATAATAAAACATCGTTTTTGGAATTGAGAGATGGTAATTTCTTTTGTGAACGTGAACTCATCTATCTACAACTCTTTAGGTGAGAACAATGTGCACAACTGTGGGAGCTAGGACACAACCGTGTTAATAAAGGAGCCAATAAGGGAATATTTTAATAACTATCTAGAAACCATAAATATAGAGTTTCTTTTTGTTATCTATGAAATATTTTGCGAGATATTCTCTTGTAATTATAGGATAGGGAAACCTGATAATAGAAAATTTGTTTTTTTTCCATATTTTTTTTTCATGAACATTTTCATTTTTTTGAAATAATGTATTATATCATAAGAAGAAATAATTTTAGAAGAATAAAACCATAGAGAATCTGTACAGCAAATCGGAAGTGTAGTATGGTTGACATACACTGCCCAACTAATGTGAAAAATCATTTGTAGTAGTTACTTAATCTACAGGGATATCTAAATCTAGAGAGGTGTATATTTATTTATTCATCTATGTATTTATTATTCATTTATTTATATAACTGTAGCAGGACTGAATTTTGTTATAAGCATTTATGCCTTGTATTTTAAATGTAATGTCGTTATTAATGTTTTCATGCATATATTGGTACACTGCCTTATCCCCCATATCATTTGGTTTATATTTACAAACCTTCTCAGATAATAGCACGTGTTGCTTCCATCAAATCTTACGGGTAAATGTTTCTATTTGATGATCTAAATTCTCATTGGCTATCAATACGGAAGTTAACCTTTTGGGTGTTACTAATTTCAGTCAAAGTTCATACCCTTGGGGTGTATTCACTAGATTTCAAGTTAAAGATTCTATTGTTTTCAAAGAGTATATAAACCTGTGTAACTGTTAGACACGTGGGGAATCTTTGAAAGCATTAACTTGCTGTAAGTTCTCTCACTTTAATAAAGGTTTATTAGGTATTTAACAGGTTGCAACCTTAGAAATTATGTTAAGATATTAGGCATTTTGACTAAATTGTCGTCGTCTATTGCTCCTGTTAAATTTATTAGACCATAATTCTAAAAGCTAGGAGATAGGTTTTAAGGTATTCTTAAATAAATAAGGGGTTTTTCTAAATTACCCTAGGCCTTTTCCCCCGGCTAGGTTGGGCTAGCGTTTCCGTACGCTAGGTTGGGGGGGGGGGTGATTTTTATACGGTTGTTAGGATTTTTTCTACAAGGCAGGAATTTACAGTTGTTATTTTTTTATACTATATTTTTTTTGTTTGTCTATACAAAGGTTAATAAATGTTGTTGTTTGTTGGAACTGGTGTTTTCATTACGACTGGCATGAGGTGTTGAATTAAGGTATAAATAAGCTCGGAAATAAGACCAAGCAGAATCTCAAATCAAAACAAGAACCTGGGAAATAATAAACATGAAATTATAGGAGAGTGTACAAATATATTCTAGAACCACTAATGAAAATGGTGTTCTAAAGTTTACTCCTATTACAGAAAAATGGTGCCGTCTACCTAGGATTTGAGCACACTGTATTTGGCTTTTCGAACTCTTACATGTACATAAAGAGCTATTACAGGGTTATTAGTAAAACCATTTGTGTATTTCACGCCCACGCACATTCAGTGTCAGCTGTTTTGTTATAATCTGTTTCAACAAACTACTCGTTTTCGGAGTTAAAATATCTCATTTTCCGTATTCAAACGGTTTAGCAAAACCCGAAGATTTTTGTAGAGAACCCGAGGGTCAATCTAAACAGTATTTTGCTGATTCAGGCATGTTATGGAAAAGTCCACGTGTTTCTAGTCGTACAGGTAAAAGTGCTGAGTCGTATCAAGATCGTGCAGCATGCGCTTCTCAAGCTGGCGAGAGTTACATCGCACCTGTTCACACAATGCATCAAACAATAGACGAAACTCGGTCAATGTCATTTAAAGATAGCCATAGTCCATTCACAGGTGACTTTGTCAATGAAAGTTGTTTGTTACAATATGACTTAGATTCCCTTGAACCAAAACCAACTTGCGCTACAATTAAAACAAAGAGTGGTTTGAGTGTACCCAATACAGAAAAGTTTAGAGAAGATGTTAGAAAAGAACTTAGAGAAATGTTTCCTGAACTTTCGGAATTTTCGGAACATGACAATGAAAATTTACAACAACAAGATCAATCAATTTCAGAAACAGAATTTCGGAACTTTGGTGTTCGAAATGCAAATGAAACTCCAGTTACAAGTGGAATTCAGAAACAAAAACCAAATATTTTTACCAGCACTCCACTCATTTCGGACAGTCAAAATACTTTGCCAAAAATCCCTGCACGGGTGCACTTTGACTCAGATCACTCTAGAGACATACCACGCACACATACCCCGCAGAGTTTAAGAGATACCTTGGGTAAAGAAAGGTTTTTACAACCTGGTGATCAAGGACACTCTGTTACATCTCTGCCCACACAGAGGTCCCTACATTCATCACATTTACATGGGGGTTCCCAGGTAAGGGTCGAAATAAATCAGGAAAACGTATTGCCGCAGCGTGCGCGCCAGTTCAACACGTACGAAACGCAATCAAGGGGAGTAACTCCTACGCGCTTACATATGCAAACAATGCCCCAAGAGTTATCTGATCATTGTAATTTTTCTAGATCATCCAGACTTGCAAGAAAAGAAAAAGAACCACAAACTTATGATGGTACATCAGATCTAGAAATTTATTTACAACATTTTGAATGGGTTTCTATGTACAATGGCTGGACCAGTGCTGAAAAAGCACAGCAGCTAGCTATTAGTTTAAAGGGGGATGCTCAACAAGTGTTTAGAGATTTAGACCCTGGAAATATCAGAGAATTTGATGACATTAAGCGTGTTCTCATGCAAGGTTTAATCCTCCGGGACGCGAAGCTGCATATAGATGTCAATTTAAAAATCGCAAACGCGTAGACACTGAAACAATACCAGAATTTGGTTATGCATTAAAACACCTTGCTGCAAAAGCCTACCCTCAGTTGGATCGAGTTGCTAGGGAAACCTATGTAATTGATCAGTTTATTTCAGGTTTGAATAACACAGAAATCAAGAAACATGTTCAGTTTTGTCATCCAAGAAGTGTTGATGATGCAATCACTTTGTCTGTTGAGTATGAGGCTTTTGATGGGCCTACGACAATTCTCAGGAAGCCTAATGCAAGTGATGAGAGACTTCTGGAAAATGTTCATGTAGTTTCTGAAAATAAGAAATCTGAAATTTCTGAAAAAGATTAGGCTACAATTATATCTGAAGAAATGGGAAAAATGATGAATCAAATCACATCTGAAATTAGATCCCTGAAAAATGAAAGAAAATTCAAATGCAAATATTGTCAGAAAGTGGATCATCCTCATTGGGAATGTCCATCAAAACCCTATCAACGGAATCAAAATGCTCCTTCTAACTCAGTCAATGCAAATAAAAATTCGGGAAACTAGGTCGGGTTGGATTCGAGGCCGACAATTCAGCCCTTAATACTGGTGAAATTGACAAATTTACCAATAGGCCAATGATGACATTGAACACCATTAAACCAAGTTGCTTGTTTATTGAAGCTAAGATAGGTGATGTTCAAATGAGTTTTCTGGTTGATACTGGTTCTGCAGTTACTATCCTGGATGAAGACATATTTGACATGTTATCTGGGAAGATAAAACCTAAGCAGCTGAAAAGTGTAAATAAAACACTGTTGTGTGCGAAAGGTGAATCTATCCCAGTACTAGGAATGTCAAATTTTTCATTTAGTTTATGTGACTCAGACAATGTTTTTGAACAACAAATGCTTGTAGGGAAGTTGGAGGGTGATATTAGTATATTGGGAGTGGATTTCCTAAAGAAATATAAAGGAGTTGTAAACTTCCAAAATGAGACCTTGAAAATAGGTAAACAAAATTTCCCTCTTTCTGAAAACCCTAAAACTTTGTTTAGATGTGCCAGAATAAGACTCAGTGATACCATTAAAATACCTCCTGACACAGAATTTTGTTGTACAGGGTATATTCAAGGGAAACTTGGTACCAATTATGGGTTGGTTGAACCTAAACAAATTGTCAATGTCAATGGTCTGTTAATGGCAAAAACATTAGTTGATCCTAAGAAGGAGAAAATAGTTATCTCCCTTCTCAATCTAACAAACAGGTCAGTTAAAATCAACAGAACTACTTGCATAGCTGATCTAGAACCAGTTGAGAGTGTGCATCAAGTAGAGCCTCATTCTAAAACTC